CCCCTCCCCCCAGCACTGATACTCCCCTTGCAAACCCTGATCCCCTTGTGGCTGCCCTGTAGCTGTTGGCTTCTCTCCTCTGCCTTCCGGCCGATTTTGGATGCTGCACAGGGATCAATCATCTAAAGTAGATACCCACCGCTCTGACCCCCTTTTAGTGCCCCCCACCTCCCCTATAGCCGGGTGCCTTCTCCTGGAATCTGCTAGCTGGAGCTCCCTCATTCCTCTCCCACTGGTTGCAGCTGTTGACAGATTGCTGTCAGCATGGCAGATTGCTGTCAGCATGGAGTGTGTGTGTGTGTGTGGGGGGGGGGGGGGGGGCTGGTGAATGTGTATCCTGAATACAGCCAGAGATCACTACTGATCACTCCTGTATTCTTTCATCACTGGCACAGAGTAAAATTGTATTTGCTCTGCGTCAGTTTGCAAATGAAATATTTCATGAATAAATTAGGAGTCTGATTCCTATCTCATTCATCTTCAGTTCCTTTCCCTGTTTCAAAAAAAGAGACAGTAGAGGTCTGTTTGGACCACTGATGTCTCTCCAAAGCCCCCCCCTCCAAAAAAAACAAAAACAAATCTTTAAAATAAACATGTACCTGTTCAAACATAAAAAGGCTCTAAGTACACTGAAACGGTTTTCTGCTAAACGTGGCAAAACATATTTACACGCTGTACCGCGTTTAACACTTGAACGTTTATTCATTCATTGGCCAGTACTTCCAATTAAAATGAATACACACCCAAGCGCTAAAAATGGTTTGCACTTTGGCGCATTTAGATTAATTTATGATTCGTTTAGTGTTTTTTTGGCCAAAACGTTCCTTTTCTGAACTTGATTCTTCTGTGTTCAAGAGAGGGACGAATAACTGGCACTAAACGTTGCTGTTGGTAAACTCTGATAAAAGTCTGTGTGCGCATGGACGCATAGGCTTTTACTGAGTTGAGTTCAGGGGAGTTGGCAAAAAAAAAAAAAAAAACACGTAAAGCTCTTGAACTCACGTTTAAGAGCAGCAGTGTGCATGAGGCTAAAAAAATCAAGTTGTAAGAAAAGAATAAAAATAAAAAACATCGTAAGGGTAGATTTAGATGCGTCTAAATCTCCCTTGCCTCTGATGCCCAATCCACATTGGGATCGTGCTCCAGTGGCTACTAAGAGGCGCTGAGGAAGCTATGCGACGCCTGCTCACAGCCAGTTGTAACTCCATTGCCTACTGCAGCTTAACGGGGGAGTTTGGCAGTCAGCAAAAATGCAGCTCAACTACGTAATTACAGCCCCCAACCGCGAGTCTAAACAAGGCCTAAGGCCTTGTTTACACAGGGCATAATACAGCAAGGCCTTGTTTATCTGCACAGGGATGCACAGGTATTCCATGCATTCCCACACAGGCAGTGTCACTGGGAGACAGCGACTGCATTGGAATGCACAGGTGTTCTGTGCATTCCTGTGCAGGCAGTCCCATCCATATCAATTGCATCGACACAGCCCCTGCTCCCAACTTGACATCCATGTGGGTGCATGTCTCTAACTCACACTGTCTGTGTTTGGAGCCATGCAGATGTCAAATCTGTCCTTGCAGTTGCTGTGTCCCAGTTGACATGAATTGGAACACCTGTACATCCCCGTGAAGGTAAACAGGGCCCTCCATGAACATACGCTTTACCACACCCCATTGAACGAGGCCTTAGTAGGAATGTAACAGGAATTTTGTAATTTATGTTGTAGTTTTGTGTGCAAATAAGGATTTTTTTTTTTTTTTAGTGAAAATAGCGATTTGATAAACATTTGCGCAACTATTATGGTGCCTAAAAAAATCAGTAGCACCATTTTTTTATTCTACTGGTCATGTGCTTTCAGAAAATATATGGTTTGAAGGGTATTTTACAAACTCTGACAGCTGTTAAGTGAAAAACGAAAACCTCTGGATTTTTAGAGACATTTTTGCATACGTTCTATTTTCATCATTTCTCAAAAAGGCGCAAATTTAAAATTTACAAATATTTGTTACTAAATATAAAAGCTTAACCTGTATTGCATTAATAAGAAATTTAGCTGGAATTTTGTAAAATTTGCTATGTTGGTATCTGCTAATAATGATTTTAGTGTATTTTTAGCAAAAATATTGTTTTGATAAACATTTGCACAACCATTGTGGGGCTTTAAAAATCAGTAGCACCATTTTATTCTACTGGTTATGTGCTTTCAGAAAATATATTGTTTGGGGGTCTTTTACAACTATGAGGAAATCATCTACTGAGGAAGCCCCGCCTTTGGATGTTACGCATGTAGGAGGACAGTGCCAAGCATGTGACATCATCCCGCAGCCATCTTGATTGTGATTACTTGGAGTGTAAACCCGCACAGTGGAGTGCCGTTTATTGTAAGTATATTTCCACTTATTTTATTAAATGTGTTATATGGAGAACACTATGGGCTCTTTTTTCTATTCTACGATGGATTGATATTGCTGGGAGTGTACGGTAACGCAGCAGAATTTAACCTGGATCTTCTATATGCCATTAACAGGAAAACATATTTGACTACCTGTTGGTTTAGGGGTCAGTTTCTAAAGGTGAGTGGCCAATTCTTCTGGTGGAGGTGGTTTGTCACATATTGATGAATATGAAGATTATAAGGAATCACGGATTGGTGAATGGGAACTGTTCATATCACATGGATTTCATGGACATTTACTTACTTTATGAATATTGTACATATGTTTAGGTTATAATTATTTTATATATTAATTTTGCACATTGGGTTGCGCTATACTTTATTTTCATTTTGATAATTTATTGTGTAAATTGTGTAAAGCCTATATGTGTTCAGATTTTGCATCCTTTTTATATGCATTAGATTTAGTTTTGGTTTTATTTGGATGACAGCGCAGTGTGACACACTTGGTTATTGTAAACGTTTACATTTAGTAGGAATTTAGCAGGAATTTTGTAAAATTTGCTGTGTTTGTATCTGCTAATAATGATTTTAGTGTATATATTGTTTGATGAACATTTGTGCAAATATCATGGGTCCCTAAAAATCAGTAGCACATTCCTTTTATTCTACTAGTCATATGCTTTCAGAAAATATATGGTTTAGGGGTTCTATAAACTCTAAAAGCTGTAAGTGAAAAAGTAAAACCTCCAGAGTTTTAGAGAAATGTGGTTATTTACAGTTTTGCATACGTTCAATTTCCACCATTTCGCAAAAAGGCACAATTTAAATTTTACAAATATTTGTTATTTATTAACTCATTACAGGTTAAGCTTTTATATTTACTAGGAATTTTGTAAAATGTGCTGTGTTTGTATCTGTTAATGATGATTATAATGTATTTTTTAGCGAAAATAATGATTTATAACATTTGCGCAAATATCATGGGGCCCTAAAAATCAGTAGCATTTTCTTCTTATTCCACTGGTCACGTGCCTTCAGAATATATATGGTTTTGGGGGGGGGGGGGGGGTCTTTTCCAAACCCTATAAGCTGTAAGGGAAAAGCAATGGAAAAACTGCAAAAATGGTCTGGCCACCTGGGTTTAAAAGTGGAGCGCAAGGCCTGGCAGCACAAGAGTTAAACCCAGAATAGTTTTTTTTCTTTCTACTATTAAATCTCTTTTATGGTGGGTTCTCAAAAGGGCAAATGAATTAATAGGTAGGATGAAAGTTTTACTGCAGAATAACTAAAATTATTAACTAGGATCAACAACAAAAAGTGAGCGCTTAGAGGGGGAAGCAGCTAGTTCAAAATTGGTGACAAGCAAAAAAAATTAATGAATAAAGTGAATGGGTGCAGTGCTTAAAGAAAGTACATATGAGATATAAATATCAATATAAATAAATTCAAAAATTAATTCAATAAATTCATCAGTGAAAAGCTTAACTTAAATCTAAGTTACCACCATAAAGTGAATAAAACTATTTGTGATTAGAAACAAAGTGCTCAGTCCGAAATCAAAATTGACCTCTTCATATATAACAATTCATCTGTGCAGATGGTCAAACGGTGAAATCTCCTTGCATAAATTCCCCACCACTATGCACTCACCAGAAGACAAACAATAATAGTGTCCAATATGCTAAAAAACCTCCAAATCATCTTTCAGGTATTGCCGCAGATGGCCAACGATCCTACGAAAAGAAACTCACCACACTGAGCCTAAAATGTATTTTCTCGATGCTGGACATGTCTCCTCCCTGGTGTCTCAGGTATTTCTCTTTCAGTAAACTTGTCCTAGGAGTGAGCTGCTTTTTATAGGATGGTTGGCCGTTTGCGGCAATACCTGAAAGATGAGCAATCTGTGGAGGTTTTAGCACACATTGGATGCCATTATATTTTGTCTTCTGGTGAGTGCATAATGGTAGATTTATGCAAGCAGATTTCACTGTCTGACTATCTGCACAGATGAATTGTTATATATGAAGAGTTCAATTTTGATTTCTGGACATTCTTTTCAGACTGAGCACTCTGTTTCTAATAACTAATAGTTTGATTCACTTTATGGTGGTAATTTAGATTTAAGTTAAGCTTTTCACTTATGAATTTATGTTAATGTATTTAATTATAGATATTTATATCTCATATGTACTTTATTTAGGCGCTGCACCCATTCACTTTATAAAATTATTAACTATTTAACTTTTGGTAGTTACATAGTACATTTTCATGGTTAGTTACACATCAGACCAAAAAGAGGGACAACTGAGGAGGGAAGAAAGATGGAGGGATTTGGATCCAAATGATGGATGGTTAAGAGGCATGTGCAAATAAGTATCTCACTGAAAACAACGCACCCCCAGTGTAGCTGATATTTTATCTCAAGACATGTTTCAGGAGAGAAAATAAAGGCATGACTGGCTCTCTGTGGTCATATGTATTCATCAGGAAGAAAGATGAATCCTCATAACCATGTTGGTTTCTAAGCAATCTTTTTATTGCATACAAATCATTTGGAAGAGGCCTTTCTCAATAATAGAACTGTGTTGATTTAGATATTTATTTACATGCGGATTAATAGAAATATAATACTCACCAAAAGTGAATTTGAACGATTGTTGAAATGGGTATTTTCTGAGAAGAACTCTGTCCTGTGATTAATTCTTTGATGACCTCCATAATCTGAAGCATCAGTATCCAGTGCTATCATATATTTAAACCAGACTGTTAAGGAACATTCTATAAAGACTGTAAAAAAGTAATTAAAATCCAAAACCTGTTTAAAAAAAACAAAAGCCTGCACACCACAAAAAAAAACATACATAGTACAATAAAAATAACTGAAAAAACCTCCAGAACAACCTTCAAAAGTCTCCTGCCTTTTCTACACAAATATTATTACTGCTGCTCACACTCTGTGGGGTTGATTTACTAAAACTGGAGAGTGCAAAAACTGTTGCTGCACAGTTGCTGTGGATGGTAGCCAATCAGCATCTAACTTCAGCTTGTTCAATTAAGCTTTGGCAATAAAACCTGGAAGCTGATCCAGCTCCATCGAACCCTATGTGTTCACACATATAATCAATACAAGAACAGTGCTGTGCAGTATTATACCAAACTCATACAATGCTGCATATAATATATTAAATAATGTGTATAAATAGTGGAAAAAAGTCTGAAAAAAAAAAAAAAGATAAAAAACAGCGAAAATAAATTCTATCAGTCAACCACAAATATATGTTAGTGTTCATTCCTAATCAATATTCCATATTCCTTATCTTGTTATGACACACACTGGGGTTGATTTACCAAAACTGCAGAGTGGAAAATATGGTGCAGCTCTGCACAGAAACCAATCAGCCTCCAGTTTTTTTTGGTCAAAGCTTAACTGAACAAGCTGAAGTTAGAAGCTAACTGGCTACCATGCACAGCTAAACCAGATTTTGTACTCTCCAGTGTTAGTAAATCATCCCCATTGTGTCCAATTTCCACTGGATACTATTTCAACACCAATTTCACCATACACAGGGCAATCACACCACCTTCAATCCAATGCTCTCACCTTATTGCTTGACCTAAAATTATAGGTCTAATGCACCTTCTCCTTTAGGCAGGGTGACTCCCAGCTCTCTCAATCCATCTCTATCCAGGTTTGTCCACAGATAAATTAATACCAGAAGCCCAAAAAAAGTAAATGATCATAGCGCTCTTTGCCTCAAAACCACAATGTTATTAAAATCAAATTGCAAATAAAAAATACACTCACATGGTTACATGCACTGTACTGTCAGCCACATGATATTGTGATGTAATGCTTAGGAAGGAGCCAATGACATCACGCCGCACAACCCAGAAGTGAATGGACTGCCATTTTGTGAGCTTTGTGAATTTTAAGGGAGCAATGTATGTGTTTATTTTGTAGTATATATTGTATATTTGGGGTGGAATGATTTTATTTTAAGAATTTATTTTAAACAGTATTTTTAATTCTTTACATAGCTATACCTGCAAAAGGAGCCAGCCTGAAGTGATCTAGCTGGACTTCCAGCTAAGGTCCACTTTAAATCATATTAGAGGTATTCCCTGCTAGAGGAGTTGAGACATATTTGAAAACTATTTGCTACAAGGGATGCCAGTTTTGCATTTTTTAAATTAACCCTAGAGAGAAAAGGCTCAGCATTCCTGTCAAGTTTTTATTGCTGTCTGGGTCTCTGCTGGGGATATTCACCCTCTGTTTTTGTCCTGTCAATTGTCACGGGAAATTAAAATTCTGAGTTACCCGCAGAACAAGAATAGAGAGTAATGTCTCTTTCACAGGGGGCAGAATTCGATTTGCTCAGCAGGGGATCCGTCCACGGATCCCCTCCTGAGCAGAGCTAAGCAGGTGGATGAAAGGTCTGTGTCCACTTAGATTTTGCATAGCGGACACAAACCGAACCTGCTCTGCTCTATGGGCATCTGGGTGTAAACGGACCAGCTTTCCATTTATACCTGAATGTCCTCCGAACTGATCCACCTAGATGGAGGGGGGCAGTTGTTTGTTTTCAGTGGACCGGATGGGAGGTAGACTTGTGTCCTATGACAACTGCCGGTCCATAGGGCTGAATGGTTAGGTCCGCCTAAAAAACTGACAGGCGGGCCTGATCAGAACAGTCAAGTAAAAGGGGCCGTCTTAACCTTCCACAGGGAACACCTGAATAGGTGACCCCAGTCTAAGAGAGAATTTTCTACCCTTTGGAGAGAATTTCTTCAACTCCCTACCTAGAGGGAATACTCCCAAATAGGACACAAGACAGCAAAAAAAAAAAAAGAAAAACTCTGATAGGAATTTCAGGATTTTGTTATTTTCATACACTACTTAAAAAATGAAAAAAAAAAAAAAAAAGTTTTAGTTTGATATACTTCATTAATAAAAGTTAGGGAAAAGCATGCCACCTTTGGGGACCCCATAGAAGCTTGAAATGCTTTTCATAATTTTTTACCAATAGATTCAAATTATAATAGAAAATTCTAAAGATCATTTCTGACGATTTCCTTTTCACGGGTTTATAAAATCATAAGAAAAACAGCTGGTGAAATAGTAAAACACAGCTGCAAAGGCAATCCTTTTGGTGATTTCCTTATAAATAGGATGCAAGATAGTTCAGGCAGTGATAATGAGGGTATATGCTTATCATGTAGAAGATAATTTAAGAAATGAGGAAGCAAACACCAGCTTCAGAACAAAGACATGATTGTACAATATATGCCAATTTCTATGCAATGTATACAACTAACCTGTAAAGGATTTATTTTATAAACTAAACTATAAGGTTTATGTAAATCCTGACAATGCAATTCTCTTATTTGCTTCTTTTGGCCTGTTAAATATACCATCAAGAGTGTTTTTCTTAATATGTTTGATAAGTGCAAAGAAGAAACATTTTTTTGACATGCTAGTTAAATTAGTTTCTTGGAGTACAGTAGAGGACACAGGATCTTTAACTTTTAGACTCCATGTACACTAGCATAAAAAAATGCTCTTAGCAGCAGCTTTTGAGCATTTTTTTTTCTTTCTGCTTCTAGAAGCAAATAGTGGTATCCTATGTGTCCATGCACACTATTTCAATCTAGAGATTTTTTTAAAGCTTCAGCTTCTAGGAGCAGAAAGAAAAAAACTTTTTGCCTCCATGCACACTAGCATTTTTTATAAGCTCCAAAAAACGCTGGATAAAAACTACTGATAAAAACATTTTTGTGCCAGCTTGTAGTAGCGTTTAGGAATGTTAGTGTTTTAACAGTATGTGAAAGAAAAAAAAAAAACCTTGAAAAAAGATGTTAGGAGCATTTTATTAGTATTTAGAAGCATTTAGGAGTGCTCAGCATTTTTTTTCTGCTGGGAAAACGCTCTCAAAAACTCCACAAAAACAATTTTTCCTCCTAAACGCTGAAGCGCATAATGCTTCTAGCATACAATAGTGCATGGACACAGAGAATAACCTTATTAGCTTCTAGGAGTAAAAATAATGCTCATAATAGCTTCTAGGAGCTTAAGACACTAAACACTAGCGTGCATGAGAGCCTTTAAGTATATTTAAATGCAAAATATTCTGGTGACCTGGGGGGGCCACTAAGAATTCCCTAAGGCTTGTTTCACATCTGTGGTGCCACTGCGGGACCAGCACAAATACCTGCAGCTGCACCACCCACACAGAGGAATGCAGGACCCGCAGGAGGGTGCCATTAATTCTAATGGCACGCCGCCAGCACTGGAAATCGCAACCATACCGGGAACCTCGGTTACCATGCGGGCTGTGATTTCCCAAGTAGTGCAGGGACCTTTTTCCTGCGTATCCTGGGGCAAAGGAGTCCATTAAAATGAATGGGCTCTCCTGCCCATGCAGCAAATTGTGGCCCGAACATTAGTGAACCAGGTGTTAATTTGTAGGCATTTCCTGTTTTTTCTGTGGGACAAGAGATGAAAGTAAATCTCCCCAAATGGACACAGATGGCAGAAAAAAAAAACTGACAGGGGTTATAATGTTGCCTATAGTTCTACCTCAACCATAATTATAGAATGCTACCATCAGGGGATTGGACACTGGCAAAAATAAACCTGTAGGGACATCTCTTATATCCCTCATATAACCCCTCCTAGCTAGCCACAGGTTTGCAGCAAGCAATAGGAAAATCATAAAGAACAGAGGGGAGGGACCACTGTCCTGTACTGTACTCCAAGAAACAGATTTTACCTATAAGTCCAAAATCCTGTTTTTTAAGTTGTAGACCCAGGATCTTAGAAGCCTAAAAAAAAAAAATCAGTACAAGAGATATTACCTTCAATGCGATGTGTCGCTTGTGCTGTTGACTTCTGGTTCAGTAGAAATCTTCCTTCTATGATGCCACCTACACCTGCAGCAGGGGTCAATAAAACTGAGGAAACAGTGACACACACTCCTATCAAGAGTGCCTGGGGGGGCATGGTTCCGGCGGCAGCCAAAATGGACGTTCTGTAGAGAAGCTCCGATACCGCGTGAGAGAGTTTAACCGCCCTGCAAAGCATCCTAGGCACAAATCGACCATGGGGAAGATAGGAAGAGCTCCCTCTCAGTACCGATAGACTCATTCTCAATTGGGCTGGCAACTTCCACCTATGTTCCGGTCCCAACATGGAGATGCACCCCACGGAGCTCGGAGTCGCCTCCGGCTGCAATCGCACAGGCCTCTGCCACGAGTTCTAGCACAGGGGAACAGCTGACCTCCATGTCTGAAATCTTTCAGATGCCACAAATGGCGGATTTACAAAATATTGCAGCGAATATCAAAACCACCTTAATATTTCAATAGTCTTAGGAACCTAGACACCGCTCCTCTCCGTCTCCAGGCGGGTCCGCCCACATGCAGATACACCCACATTTCCCTGGACCGCGATGTGTGGGCAGGATGACATGCCCGCCCCTGTCTTCTGGCCACACCCCCGGGATCACTCAACAGCTCCGCCACCTCGCCGGTGATTGGCCGCCGAAACTGTAGCTCAGGAGAGGCACACAGGCAGCCAATCACCGGCGAGGAGATGGAGCTTGGAGAGGAGGAGCCGAGCGGCAGCGCGAAGATCAAAGAAGATCGAGTGAGGGAGCGGCCAGAGAAGGAAGAAAGCTGACCGGTAAGTGTCTGTACCATGTAGAGGGTTCTGCTGCAGCCAGGTATGCTGGCTGTAGATGGGAGAGGGAGGGAG